TCAACTCTCGATTTTCGACCTCAACGGTCTCAACTCTCGGTTCTCGACCTCACTCTCGGTTCTCGACCTCAACGGTCTCGACCCTCGGTTCTCGACCTCAACGGTCTCGACTCTCGGTTCTCGACCTCAACGGTCTCTCGAATCTCGGCTTTCGGTGCTTGACCCCAGTGGCGGGTCACTTAACTTTCGACTTTTACAACCATTCGGTTTTCATTGTTTGACTCCAGCGGCGAGTTATTCTACTTCACTCTTGGATCGAGTTATGCTCACTCGACCAGAGTGGGGGGACTAGATGATATAGCCACAACTAGTATTGCCGGCTCGACCGGTAGTATCTGATATAACATGTCATACCCGACCGATTTTTATGGATATATATTGAAGATACGCCCATACATGGGCTAAGACACTTGATATGATTATATGGGCCGAACCCAACTTAGGCCAAGCCCAATTTGGACTATAAGGTACACTCTCTCTATAAAAGGGGGGCTAAGGTACTCATTTCCTACATTCTCTACTCATTCCCTTACTACACTTCTTCTCTCTACACACTCTCTCTATATGCACTCTCATGTACTGACTTAAGCATTGGAGGCCCAAAGCCGGGCACCCTTCCCGGGGTCCTTGGCTTTGGGTTCTTGCAAGTACGGTGGCCGTCCGAGTCGAAGGAGCCCGAGTGACATCTTTGTCCCATCAGTGTGTGTTAGAGAAAGGGTGATGTAAGTGTGTTTTGGTAGGTTATTGACCAAAATACTCTTAATTAATGGGAGGTCAAATATATTTAATGACCAAAATACTCATTGTCAAATTCATATATTAAAAAATTGACTTATCATAATCATTGACTTGATAGATCCAATTTTACAAATTTGAATTCACTTGGGTATATATAATCAAATATGTTGCTTGTGAAAGGATTTGACAAAAGCAGAAGAATAAAAAACAAATAAAATAATAATAAGAAAAAAATAAAAATATAATTTATATTACATTCCAATTCCATACATTGCAAGGCATTAATCAACAAGACGAGAAATGCTCACATATCCACGGTGGACATATGTTAATATGTCCACCGCGTAGGTGACATGCATTTATTGGTGATGTATTTTTTTAAACATATTAACATTACCAATGAGTGGACACCACCTAAGCGGTGGACATATTAACATGTGCCTACTGTGGGTAGGAGAGCATTTCTATCAACAAGACTAGGGCAAAAATAACAGAAAAAGGGCAAAGAGCATAAACTTTAGGGAAATGTTATGGTCCCGTTACAGTACCATCCCGTCGGGTGTTTTAATCGTTGGATCATCTATCTTGTAATAACTATGTGTGTATCCAACGGTTAAAACTCC